TGGGGGGGGGGGGGGGGGCAAAATCTCCATTGATTGAGAATAACTGTGCTAAAGGCTGTCTCTAAGTTCTTAGGTCAGGCTTTAATGATAGAGTTGATGTGAGAATACATTGTTCATTGAAACAGGGTAGCCAGGCAGAAGACTCGAGGGGCTTCCCAGTGAGGGATGTACATTGACCTTTCCATCCCTTCACTTGATGGCACCCTGAGGTCTGGATGTATTGTGAGGGGTGCTCCTGGCTTTTTGTCTACCCTTCTTCCTTTCTCCCTCCATCCGGGCTATGTGGCCAGTGAACAGCACAGTGGTGCAGCTTTGTCAGGCCTGGACTGGTTGGCCATTTTTATCATGGCTTCTCCATTTCTCACTGAAATGAAAGGTGGAAGAAGAAAGCAATTTCCCTGGTGTCTTTGACCCCTCATGTCCCCTATCCCCCAAATATTTAATCATCAGACATTTCTGCGAGAGTGGGTGTTTCCTGTTAACTCAATCCCAGCCGAGACTGGCCCAATAAACACCTCAGCTCTCTGTCATAGAGTTTATTTGACTGGGAAATGGGTATTGCCATGTAAACAGGAAGCCCCCGGAAGTTATTATCTGCAGATGTGGTTGAAGAGCCACATGTTTATGGGATTTGAAAATAGTCTGAAAGCAAGGAAGGACGTTGGGGAAAGCCTTATTCACAGTCAGAGTAGGTCCTACAGATCTTCATGAGTTGATTTTTCATTCTGGAAATGGTTGGTAAATAATAGTGACATAGCCACGAGCCACTGCAGAAATGGAGGCTTGTCTGATTTAAGCAAACACCCCTACCTAGATTATCAGGTTAACAGTAGGTAATCCAATCAATTGTTCTCTGATTTGAAAATCATTTTAGAGACCAGCCCTAGCAAACAATGACTTGGAGTCACCTAAAAAGGCAGGGGATTTATGATAACATTGTTATAGTCTAAGTTTTTCTGGCGAAGTGGAGGACAACTCAACTGATTGCTACAGATTTAGTGTGGGCCAGCTCACCTGTGGAATCCCAGGCAAACTCATGCATTTGCTCCTAGAGTGAGTTCCTAAGGCGCTGAGAAAGACATCTTCATGCAGGAGTCTGCAACCTGAGCTGTCTGGGCATTCATGCTGTGAATTTATAGGTGATGAGACAACTGGCTTGCACCCTAGAACTGCATACCCTGGGTATACTCCAAATCGTTCCCTACCCACCTCTGCTCTTTTTTCATTGGCTTTCTCCTCCTGCCTGCAGAAGGTGCTTAAGAAAGGCCAGGTAGGAACAATACATGAAGAGCTAATACTCTATATTTAAATTACAGGCTCTAAGCAAAGGCAAGGGAATTTTTCCCCTCCTTACCTCCATTCCTGTGCACCCTGATAAGCCTCTGTGTCTCCCTAGGGGCTTCTGAACAGTAGCTATTCAATTAGGAGGACTTGGAAATGAAATTTTGAAAAGTTTTGAATCAAAACAACGAAAAGGATCCACTGTAGGTGCAAAGGGTAATATACCAAGGTGTGTGTGTGTGTGTATGCATGCGCATGCATATGCATGCACGTAAATGTGTGCACCTGAAGGGAGGGAGGGAGGAGGAGGAATAGAAAGAGGTACCTGGGCAGCTGTTCAGGGAAGATGAGGCTCACCGCCCACTTGCCTCAGTTGTTTGTTATTCCTACAAATTCTGCAAGAAAAGCACTGCTTTCATCCCACAAGTGGTATAGAAGCAGTAGCTCTTCTTCAGATTGATTATTAGGACAAGGGACACTGGATGCTCCTTCAGATGTCAGTTAAGGGAGCATGGTGAAGCTGACTTTTCAGAAGGGATTACTATTTTTTATTCAAAAGCTTCTTGTGATTCAATTTAGCCCTGCTGTTCAGATCTGCTCAGCCAGTCAGAAAACAGAAGAATCTGGGGCCAGCCTGGTGGCGCACTGCTACAGTGCGCCGCTTGGGAGCGCGGTGGCGCTCCTGCTGAGGGTTCGGATCCCACATACAGACCGGTTCCCGCTCACTGGCTGAGAGAGGTGTGGGCGCGACGCCGAGGGTTGCGATCCCGTTGCCGGTCCCGGTCTGGTACGGGTGCGACACTGAGGGTTGCGATCCGTTGCCGGACACGAAAAAAGACAAAAAAAAAAAAAAAAGAAAACAGAAGAATCAGATTTTTGGAAAGTTTAACTTTTATTAAAAGTTATTTGAGTTTATTTTCATGTTTATCTTGTTGCATTGATATTGGGCCACTTAGTGGGGTTTTCTGAAACACTTGCTCTATGTTTCAGCATTACAAAGGTAGCTAGCTCACTTCTTGATGGCTATCTATTCTTCCCTGGTCATTTTGTCCCAAGCCATAGCTAATAGAAAGGGAAGAATTTCCCCCATCTGCCATTCTCATAAAGAAATCAAGAACATATAGCAAAATGTTTTAAAAAAGTAAAATTCCCTTACACAAACCCTTCAAGGAGTAGCTCTCACAGCAGCAACGTTAGATAGGATGAGAACATAAAAATGCAATCAGGTCTGATGTGGCTTTTCGCTCCTTAGGACTTAGGAAATTTCTCCTGAAGTACCGCACCTACTAGAGTTAGCCCGAATGTGGAAAATGGAATGAGAACATAAAAATGCAATCAGGTCTGATGTGGCTTTTCGCTCCTTAGGCCTTAGGAAATTTCTCCTGAAGTACCGCACCTACTAGAGTTAGCCCGAATGTGGAAAATGGAAGGAGGATATAGTAGGCTTACTGGAATTAGAGCTACAGTATGTAATGACAGAACTTAGGTGTTTCTGACAGGTGGGGATACCAAGAATACCCCAAACACTATTTGATTATGGATTGATATAAATATACAAATTTATTATTTAAAAACAGCAAAAAGCAAACAAAACCACATGACATACAATTATGGAAGTATTAATAAAATGGTTTTATGATTTAAATCTCCTTCGACATTCTTTCCTTCCTAAATCAAGTCACTTATTTTTTTATAACTCCATCCATCTCCGGCAGTGAAACAACTCTGGTCAGTTTCACTTTCTGTTTCTCTGTGTTTCTCTTCGTTCTTCTGTCCCCAAAGGAGAGGAGCCTCCCGAAGTATCATTAAATATCCCAGCAATGCCTTAGCCTGATTTTGTTTTCTTTAACAGTTACTATCTAAAGGTCTGGAAATCGCAATGACCTTACTCCTTTTTAGTAGAGTGCTTAGAGAATCTTTTTTATGTTTGTGGTTTTGGGGGCATAGAAAATTTTTCTCCTAATGGGAATCTTCTTATTGGTGGTTTCACAGATGAGAAATGCAAAGATTATTATTGAGTACAATTCTCAGCCACACCTTCTGGAACACAAACTGTGAACTCAGATTGTGCAGGGAAGGACTGGTGGGCCATCCATCTTTCATTCATCGTGGGCATGGGAGGAAGAGAGGGATCTAAAGAGGAAGCCAGTGCCGAACTTTAGTGAGGAGTTAAGTGGTTAATAGGAACTAAGTTTTTTTATTGGCTAATA